TAGTTCTTTGAAGAAGAAAATTATTCAATATTATGAAGACGAGAGATATATCCATTCTATATCTGGTATGCATAACAATTTTTTTTACTAAATGGCAGGCACTTCAACATTTGTTTGTATGAACAACAAGGAGAGAAATGTGAAAGAATTCTGTTTTGTTTGAGTTAAGGAAAGACTTAATTTCATTGAATTGTAAAAATGTTTGTTTGACTCAATAAAATAGCCTATGGAGGGCTAAAACGTTTAAAAAACAATTTTTTTTAATGAGCTGCTTTCTTTCTCTAACACATTATGCACAGGACAGTCGCATTATTGGAATGACGTAATAATTCCTCCTCGTATTATTTACTTTAGTTCATTTCGTGAGAGGGGTAACTAAATATATGAAAATAGAAGTGAGAGAGAGAGAGAGAGGGGGGGGGGAGAAAATAGATAGAGAGACAGGGGGAGATAGATAAGGAGCAGGCATATCAGAGAGGTAGAGAGAGAGAGAGATTGGATCAAGCGTGTATAGAAGAGGATACGAGAGAGACAGAGAGAGAGAGAAAGAGAGAGAGAGAGAGAGAGAGAGAGAGAGAGAAAGAGGCGGTGGGTAGACATGGAGCAGGCATATTGATAGAGGTGAGTTAGAGATTGGAGCATCCTATAAAATCCAGAATCTGGCCTATTTGATTTTGATCTCCACCTCCTTAGGCTGGGCTGGTGAGCATTACGAGTTCGTTGATAACGCCATATTCGGCGGCTTGAATCAAGCGTAGGAAATATAATGAACCGGCAACCTTTCAATTTTATCGATGGAGGAAGAGCAATTATCCAAATATATACTTCCTTCTAAAAAAAAAACGATAATTTTTTTTGTTGTTGTTGAAATAAATCTTTATTCAGATAAAATCATGGGTAACATCATAGTACATAAATATTCATAATAAAGCACTTAATCACATGCCTAAATGAGGTCAAATTAAATTATATCTTTATTTACTTGATAGCAGATTTTAAATTAGTAATTGTCTTCTTCCACTTAATAATATTCAAATTCGTTGTCTTGGTTTTGTTTTCCTCTACTTCTATTTTGTATTTCAACATAAACAAAAAATATTTGCTTATTATTCTCGTCACTACATTTTTATTAAATTGATTTCCAAAAGTCGCTTTATAGATTGCAACTAAAGCATAATGAAGTATTAAATCAATTCTGTAACATTTTCTTTTGCGTCATGAAAACCATATACAACACAAATGGGTGAGAATTTAAATTCTTTACAGAAGGAGTTACATAATAATATTTCAATAACATTCCAAAATCGGTAAATATTTTCGCATTAAAAAAATACATGTATAATAGTACCAGGTTTATTACAGTAATAACACAAATTGTTTTCTTTGATTTTCCATTTGAATAAATTAACAGATGTTGGTAAAATATTGTACATAAATTTAAAGTTGAATTGTATCAAATAATTATCATGAACATATTTCAATTTAAATAACCATAAAGAATCCCACTTAATAGTAAAATTTGTCTGTAAGGTTTTGTTCCAAAAGTCTACCGCCCTAGATGGTTTTTGGATTAATTTTATGAGTTCCGTATATATTTTTTTCACAGTAATAGAGTGTATTGAAAATTCAAAACTATTCAAATTCAAATAAGAGTATATAACTGATTTACGTTTGTAATCTTTGAAATCATAAACTTGTTCGCCATATTTTATGATTCGCCTCCATCTTTGTTGTATTGCGGTTCTTATTTTGGCATATTCACTCAACCATCTACCATCATAATAGATAAGTTAATCTTGCAATTCTTTGACAACTGTCAAAAATCTATTTCCTATTACTATATCCCCTAAAAATAATATACCCGATTTTATCCAGTTTGTATACAACAAAGCTTTTCCTTTAAATTTGATATCACAATTTAACCAAATCATTTCTTTTGTAACACTTCCATAGGTGTGGTGTATATCTTTTACATAATTAACTCGCTTTACAGTAAACCATGTACAAAGTAAGTCACAATGAAATTCAGGTATTTTCCCTCTATAAGAAGTCACATATTTTGGTAAACATTTACAGTTCATAATAATATCAATCCCTCCCAGTTTTTCAATCCAATACTCAAAAAAAATTATCCACTTCCCTTTCTTTTCTTGGATTTCTTTAAAACTTAAGAAGCTAAACAACCATTTTATTCGTAAAGACATAAATTGCGTACACATGTCGACCACTTTCATGCCTCCGTTTTGAAAAGTATTTATCATGTTTTATTTTTTCACTTTTGCTCTATTACCCCATAAAAAGTTATAAAATAACTTTTCATACGCTTTTATCCATTCCATAGGGCATGATAAAACTTGAGCTGTATAAATCAATTTTGAAATAACAAGGCTTTTTAAGATAATTACTTTCCCTTTAAATGTCAAGTTCCTCTGTTTCCAAGAATTTAAAAGCTGTTGTATTTTAATGAATCTTTCTTGAGACCAATTCATATTCACACCCAAAGATTTATTCTTACTAAAGTATATGCCCAAAAGAAACGATAATGATAAAAAATATATAAAAGAATGTGAGGGGCTGCAAGGGGCAGGATTGGGTAAGAATTCTACAATTCTCACCACAATGCATGCTTGTTGGTTGATTGACCGATCACGGTTTCTCTTTGAAAGTGGGATCACTTGAATTATGTTTTGATCTAAATATGGAACTAGTAATGTATAAGAGAACAACTTGGCCGCTTTTTATATTTCATGCTTCAAAATGCTTCATCATTTCCTACAGTAAGGTTTTGTTCTTGGCAACCTTTGAATGTTGTCTTTTTTATCGAGAAATTATCCAAAAATATACTATCTTCTAAAAAAAAATATATAATGATACAAAAATATATATGTAAAAGAATGTGAGGGGCTGCAAGGGGCAGGATTTGGTAAGAATTCTACAATTCTCACCATAGACTGCTTAAAGGAGCTAATCGACCTGTTCTAGGGAAAAACAGAAGAGAAATTGATCTAATTGTGCATGCAAAAATGTTGAAAAATCAATTGTGGGTGAAGGTTTCAGCCAGAATATTGTCGTTTCGTGTAATTAAAGAAGAATTCCGCAATTCCATACTTTTTATTGACCAAGAAGACTGATGTAAGTTTTATTACAAGGAACTGCACTTTCGCTTACTTGTGCACTGCATGCCTGGGATATAGGAAAGGATATATTGACGGGGACTGACTGAATCTGGAAGGGGCCTCTAGGTGTAGGGGCGTTTAAAAACTTTATAGCCCAATCATAAAAATACATATAGTACATGTATTTTTATGATTGGGCTATGATAATTTGGTTTTAAGGAATCATCCTCCCCCTACTAGCAATTTTACAGGGTGGTTCATGGCCCCTTTTTTGAAACCAAGGTGAATGTTCCCCCATTTAAGGTAATGACCTTAGGGGTTAGGGTATGTGTGTGTGGGGGGGGGTGTGCGTGTGTGTGCGTGTGTATGTTGTCTGGAAAGTTGATGCATTCAAATAGTACAAAATATCCTATTTCCCGCAAGCACACATTTTAATTATGGTCATTTAAAAAAAACTGCATTATTTAGCTGTCTACTCTACTCTTGTCATTGAGCTTGAAATTTGGAAAGAGAAATTAAAACTCGACTTTCTACTGAAAGTATCTAGGAAGTTCAACACAGCCAGTACATCTTTTAATATATTTGTATACATTGCATTCATAGAGATAACTCCTCTACCTCTCCGCACATTTTAAAGGTTAGATGTTCTAGATATCTGAACTCAAAGAATGATAAAGGCATGATAGACCTGTTTTTCCAGCCTTGCCTTACTTAAATAAATTCATGATCAAGAAAATTAGGAAATTAGGAAAGTAGAATATAAGCCCTTTAGGCCTACAGCTTTATTATTATTATCTTATTTGCGTCGTTTTTATACATTGCATTCATAGAGATAAATTCTCTAGCTCTCCGCACATTTTAAAGGCTACATGTTCTAGATATCTGAACTCTATACTCCTAACCTCCTTTCAAGTAAATCAGATTGTGTAAACAACTTTAATAGTGAAAAGGGAATTAACGTTACGTGGAGCGGATCTCAAAGAAATGAAGGAGCTTGAGTGTTTTTGCCTTCATTTTCCAGACCTGCCTAAAAGCGGAGGCTTGACAAGCTCGAGCACCCAATACAAATTCTCGCCTCATCTTACGTCAAACGACTTCGTTCATGTAAACAAGATAATCTGCCGAATGAAATTTAAGTAATCATTATTACGCTTTTGTATGTAAAGAATTATCCTGTTTAACGTCCTCAGCGGATTTTTCATATTTTTATAGCAGTCGAATCGACAAGTCGTTAGATTGAGAGCGCTCAAGACAGAGTCCGGTGTTTTGATGCGCATTCAGGGACGAATTATACTTGCATGATCCCTTTTGTTTGTCTTCGTCTTCGTCTTGCAAAGATGACCGTCAATAGATTCAAAGTTCCTATCGAGCTCACCATTCTTTGACATGTCAATTGACAAGATAATCAGGAGTAATTCCTAGAAGAGTATTTTAATGGTAGGGGGGGGGGGGAAACGTGGAGGATGTTGCATTAAAACCAAGAAAAAATGGTTTTTAAAAGGGGGGTTCGGGGATCTTGTATTGGTTATCTACATGTGCCTCTTTTTTAATCTGAAGCTAACAATTTGGCGAACTGGGGGGCTTGAATATAATTTTATATATATATATATATATATATATATGGTTTTGTGAGGGGGGAATTAAGAACCCAACCCAAGATAAAAGTGTAAAGTAACCCTTAGTTCCATCTAAAAAATTGTATAAATTTCTCTTCGTGATCCTAGCTTTCGCATTCACAGATTGAACTAGGCTCAGAACCGGGCAAGGCATTCGGTTAAGGTAACCTATGCTAACTGCATATTATACATTTCATAAAGTAACCAGTGATTTCTTGTTCGTCAAATTTTAAAACGAGTACTGAAAGTGCCACAATCCTTAATTACCATGAATGTGACGACGGAAAACATTAGTTTGGAGGCAACCAGCGCGGCTCCGACGGAAGAATCAGAATCCTTTCAACAGCAGTTCTTCTCTGTCGTCTTCATCATCATTGGCTTCGTCGGCGCGTTCGGCAACACTCTGGTCTGTGTCGTAATCGCGAGTACGCTGGTGTGGTCGAGAAGCGGCAACACCAATCTTCTCATCCTGCACCAAGCTTTCATCGACGACATAACGTCTGTCATTTTGATTCTCATGTACACCTTACCCTATCCCAATATCCCCAAGGAGGGTGGCTGGGGGGAGTTCGTCTGTCGGATGTGGGTGGCTGAAAGCCTCCTATGGATGCTCTTTGTCGTGTCAACCTACAATCTCTGTATGATGTCTCTTGAACGCTTCGTAGCTGTTTCGTACCCAGTGGTCTACTCCACCAGATTCAAGAGGCGTACATCCCTCTTGATGATTATCTTCTGCTGGACAATAGCCCCTCTTCTGCATTACTTCTACCCTATTGGTGATAGCTACAACGATGAAGGAGTCTGCAGGAAACGTGCTGGACACCATGTTGCGTTGGCGGCAGTTGGTATCACGATCTTCTTCTGGGAGTTCTTCATCCCATTCTTAATCATGGCCGTGGTATACGCGCGGATCGTCTATCTGCTTCGAAAGCAACAACGAAGAGTTCAAGGCTCCAATGCCAACACCAGCCACCAAGGACCTCACGATGGACAACCTTGGGTTCAACCTCAGCAACATTCTCACCTTCAGGTTTTGCCTGACGAAAGCGGAGCTCGATGCGAAGGTACGTCTACCGGCTTATCACAGGTGCAGGCCCGCCTCCAGGTAATTTCCCCGCAGCCGCTCATGCAGCAACAACCACATCATCAACAACAGAGACGTCAGGCTCCATCTGAGACAGTTCGCCGCAACGTCACAGTCACTTTCCTGGCTGTCTTCATCATGTACGGCGTTTGCTGGATGCCAAATCACCTGACCTTCCTGCAGCACGGTTTCGGGGGTCCTTTAGATTTTAATGGCACGTGGTTACACCTCACGCTCGCTCTCGCCTACCTGAACATGAGCATAAACCCTTTCATCTACGCCCTCAAGTACAAACTATTCCGAGAAGGATTCCGGAGACTCTTTTGCTGTAACGGTGCTGGTCAGTTAGGAAGGTGCAGCTTCGTAGGGCGTTCTACTTTGTCATCGGGGAATGTTCCTACAATATCAGGATCTGCTTAAATTTAGTGTCGTATCCAGATTTCGAGACAGACAAGGAATTTTCCTCCAAGGGAGGGGGGGGGGGGCGTAATGCACCATGCTGGTAGTCACGCGTGAGGTAGACATTTAGGTTTGATAGTTTGTATATACCTGACCACTAGGATCGAAGGCTCTCAATCCTCTCCAAGGGACTTGGTAATGTAGGGTTATGTAGTTATTTCTGTCAAATGAAATTGTTCAGTGTAAACGAAAAACAAACTTATACTCTGTGGATGTCTTTATTGTTCACGAATATCAATGTTTTTAGATATGCTTTGTTTTGTTAATGTATTTTTATTTCTTCATGTGAAATAAATGAAACTAAACCTTAAACTAAAAAGCTAAATACCTTTACGATATATTAGTTCTGGTAATGGTTTGATGTACATGTATCTGTACTAAGGACTTTACAGAGTGGAAATGCTTTCTATCAAAATGTTTAATTTACAAATTAATATCTAACAGAAGGATTCATGGTGTCTAAACAACCTTCATCATTTTCAATCAAATACATTTAAGAAATACGAGTTTTTATTAATGTTTTGTTTGTATCTAAAGTAAAGTCTATTAAATTATGTGCTATGTAAGAATTTAACAAGGGGATTGTTGGTGTCTAAATCATGAAACTTTTTCATTAAGTTCCGTCAAATGTATTATGAGTTCTGATAATGTTTCCTATGTATGTGCACCCAAGTATTACAAAAGAGGAAAGTAGTGCTTTCTTTTAATGTGCATGCTGTTCAGAAATGTAAGTGGAGGAATTAATGCAGTTTTAAACAAATCTCTATACGTTTTCATGAGTTCTGATGTTTGTTTTTAATGTAATCGTTAGTGGAGTATTGCGAGAGTCCAGTATGGGGGAATTTCTGTATTTTAAAACAAATCTCCAACTAGTATCTGTCAACTACATTTAAGGAAAGAGAGCCCTGACCGTGTAATGTTTCCGTATCTGGATATGGAGGTGGACATGCAAGAGGGGGAGATAATGTGAATTTTTTTTTTTCATTCGATGTTTCGTACAGATATTTCATGAAGGTTGCGTTTTCTAATAATTGTATGAATAGACTTTCATAGTCCAATTGGAAGGTCAAATCAAAAAATTATTTCATGACGATCGACAACAATTTCGAGAAATTACCGTTGATAATTTTCACGAGCGTAATACGTGAACAACACATTGAAATATTATCCGTAAAATACATTTATTCAAAATTGAATTTCAAGCGCCATAAAAGCCAAATCATCAACAACAAAAGCAAGAAGAACCAAATGCGCGTAAACTACAACGTCAGTGACATAATTACATAACTGATACATGACATAACTGATTTCTATGGGTAATACAATATGGCACTGTTTTGAAATTGTCCTCGAGGCCTTTTCGCGAAAATCTTTTCGATCGTTTTTTGACACGTCTCTATACAGATTGATGCAGTTGACTCTACATTAAATAGGTCATACAGTGCGGCTAAGAAAGAAAAAAAAAGAAACCTGAAAATAGTGAAACGGTTATTGTAAACAAACTATGAGATGTATAAAACACCAGTTTGGGATTTTAATCAAGTAGAAGTAATATGTATTACTTTCAAATCAAATGTTTATTACATTAAATGCGTATATGATTGTTATACGTGTGTTTTTATATGTTTATAGAAAGTCATCTTAACCTTACATGAGCCCAGAAAAGTTTTCTTCGTAAGGGTTTGTGCTACTTGTGCATGTATATTTGTGATTATTTTATTGGAGGCAACGACAACAGCTTTAATGGAAAGAACTTTCCTAGGTTAATGAATTGTCCATTTAAATGTTACATAAACATGAAAAGCACATTCGAACAGTTAGACCGGCATTCTAATAATGCAGTTAAAACAACCCTAGGTCTAAAATCACGTTTAACAAAAGAAATCTCAGACCTCGGACTAACTTCCTTTGTTTAACCTAATTTTGAACAAAAGCCTAAACCCAGCGACGGGTCTAGATTTTAGTTGAATACGGGCCTTAGAGATTATGTCATTGTGTATATATTGTGTATATATTGTCAAGAGAGCTGTATTAAGTATATATGAGATGATAAATACAATCACAAAAAAGACTCTTAATAATTATGTTTGACTTTGTGTCATAATTTGATTTTAAATTAGCATCGAATTGATGATAAACAGGTTGATAAAGACAATCGAGGAAAATGTGTGCTGTCAACATATGGAAGGTTAAACAGGGTCGCAAATACTTTCGAGAATCAGCTGAACAGCAATGTCAATATGATGTTGTATATCCCATATACATCCTGATTGAATTACGTCATACACCTTTGTAATGTTCGTGACGGACAATGCTTTATAGAAATAGCTGGACGTTGATTTCATGAAAGTCTTCGAGATTGTGTTTTAAGTAGTCTTGGTGAATCCTGACCTCGTTCATGAAGCACGTACTGTCCTGGGTTCTCCACGATTTTAAGAGCTACGGATCGCTGCTACTCTAAATGACGAAAGAGGAAAACAGTCCCATCAATCCCGCTACCAAGCTTGATCCTCGGCCTGGACTCCTCCTATATGGTACAAGATCAGAGATATTGGTGACTATGATGTCTGGTAAAGCCACTAACTCGTGGCAGTTCTCGGGGACGGCATTTGCAATTGCAGAGAAACCATGTACCAAGGATACCTTACTCGGTGTTGAGAACGTAGTAGTCGCTCTGATGGGCTTCAAACTCCTGCACCTAGGGTCGACAAAGGTAAGGTCGCAGCCTGTGGATAAGGAGAAGCTTCGGCATTGGAAAGATCCTCTGGAAGAGATACTCAGTGCAGGATGTTCTTTGATCTTTTGCAGCTCTCGATCGACAGATTGATCAAGCGGACTCGATTACATTTGAGGATAAGGGAAAAAAAGGCAACCCATTGGTTTATTTTGAGAAAATTAAATGATGATCCAGTGTGATGCAATACTTATGTTTATACAACAACATATTTTAAACCGAAATTCACTAATTCTTATTAAAAAAAATATAAAAAACCTTTATCCTTCCTTAACATTTTATGATTGAAATCGTATTATGACCCGGATTACAGTAAACACAATTTGTATAGCCCTTGATCTTCTCTATACACACGCGCGCATGCATACAAGCAAACAAACTAAATCAATAAAATGACCCCCAAAAAACTTAGACTAGACCCTAAAGGGAACGATATAGTCCATTTCGGTCTTGACATACGCTACATTCTACTTTCTCCAACGATGCAATAACTGTCTCTCATTGTCTGCATCACAAGGAATTGAGAGCTTAAAACAACATCAACAATCAACATATGTTTTTTACTGTGCATAAGGGAGAAGGTATATAATTTCATTTATTTTCGTAGGCTTTTAAAAATTTGTTTTTTGACATCAACATCAATAATCAACATATATTTTTTACTTTGCACAAGGGAGAAGGTATATAATTTCATTTATTTTCGTAGGCTTTTAAAAATTTGTTTTTTGACAGTAGCATTAAAGGTATTACAAAGTTTTGGGAAATTTTGAAAAATGGGTGGATAGTGATTCTTTACAATTTTGATATATTTGGATGCCCCTGTGGATGTATTAAAAACATCAGAAATTTTAGCCCCTAAAACACTTCTGCTTTCGAGAAAAATTGAATATAAAGATTTACCGGTGCTCCCGGTAAATTTTGATAAATTTCAAATAGCTTCTACGGCCGTATAATGGTAGCTGCGACCATGAAAATCTCAGAGTATGTAGTTGTGGTATATAATTTCCGAATGAGAATAGCTAATCGTTCGATTTTAGTCAATAAACATTGTTTTATAGCTTAATTAATATCTTGACCTTGAGAGGGAGCTATTCAACATAAAATGTTTATTACTTACAATTTCATAACTTTAGAGTCGATTTTGACCGCGACAACGATCACTGAATATTGCAGGATCGTATATGCTTCCAATATGTTCATTTGAACCAAATTCATGACCCCATACCAAAACTTTGTATTACCTTTAATATTGTTACCCCTTGCTGTTTCTCCGGACTGCATTCTAAGTAGCAATTGAATATCCACCGAAAGCACCTCCAGCATATAACAAAAGAGAGAATAAAATAGAGAAGTAGGACAGGTGGTGGAGGAGGAGGTGCGAGAGAGGAAAATGAGAGATAGAGGGAGACAAAGAGAGAGAGAGATAGAGACAGACAGACGGACAGAGAATAACGGCGAGACAGGGGGAGTGGAGAGAAAGATCTCTACGGGTATGGGCAGTAAGTGCAAAAAAAGAAGAAAAAGGGACAGATAAAGTTATGTAGGGAGATTGAAAGAGACGATCAAAAATGTAAGACATGAAAAGAGAGGGAGACAGGGAGGGAGAGAAAGAAAGTGAATAAGTAAGAGAGGAAATATATATATATATATATATATATATAGAGAGAGAGAGAGAGAGAGAGAGGGGAGGGGTGTCAATGTGAAAAAGGCCGATAATATCCCCAAATGACCCTCCCCCTCCCCATGCATGGAGCCACGCTATGCCATTTTATATTTCTCAAATGATCTTCCTATTCCATGACCATCAGAATAACAAAATTGATTCGGTGAAAGATCCATGGTGAAATACAGACAGCCGTAATTCATGTTTTTATTTCTTCTTCAGAAAAACGGCCTTGCGTGTAGAGTGCTAAAATGCTGCTATTGAAAATCAGACGAGAGCATTTATTTGAAATGCAATCTGTATCGCTCTTCCGCTCTTACAGAATGGTGATGTTTCGATTAAAAAGAATTGCTTTTAAAATGTCCGCGGTTTTCATTTCTTCGCAAGACCTGGGAATTCCCGTTCGTCTATTTTCTTGTTGTTATCATGATCACCAAATAACATGCCACATCCTTTTATGTCAATATTCCAAACCAATTCTTAGGTATAATTTGAAAGGCATGGCTTTTTTCACGAGTGTCACTTTTACATCATCTTTACGTTCTAACAACACTTTTTGATAAC